CATGACTGGGGGAGGGAGGGGGGAGGGTTAGCAGAGGGAGACAGGAAGGGGCTGGGAGCCCACACAGGCTGGCTGGCACCTTCTTGCCTGCCTGTGGAGGGCAGCCTTGGGTGGTCTGGGCACTGGGGGAGGGTGACGGGGCTGGGAACCTTCCCCAAGGCCCTGTCACTTGTCCGCATGCTGCAGCAGCAGGTCCACGGCCTCCGCGAGGTTGTCCACGTACCCGTCAGCCTTCACTTCGGGATGGTGCTCGTCGCTGGGCCTGGGGAGGGGACAGAGGCTAATCAGTCCCCCTGGGGAGAGGGATCCCCAGGCAGGCTCAGGCTATGCCAGCCCAGGTGCTGACGCCCTTGCCCCCCATTTCCCCTCCCGCTCCCTGCTCCCTTTCCCCTTCTGTGTGCCCTCCCCCATTCCTGTTGGGCTCCCTTTTCTCTCCACAGCGGGGTGCTCATGTGTGTCCACTGCTCGAAGCAGAACAAAACGCCCCCCAGCAAACACCCCACCCGGTTTATCATCCAAGTCCCTGGGCACCTGCCCCCAAACTCCCCTCTTCTGGGACCTTCACGGGCCCTTGAGCCAGACTGTCCATCAAATGGACTCAACCCCAAGAGGGAACGAGAACCCACCCATAAAAGATGCTGTGTGATGAGGTTCTGGCCGGCCCCCTTCGGCACACGGTACCCCTCCGAATGGCGTGCATGGCTAATTATGTTTAATTACATATCATTTAAATTCGAGGATCCATTAAAAGAAAGAGTTGCATTAGCAGCCAGCTGGTGTTTGCCAACACAGAGGAAACCGTGGACTTTTATGTCTTAATTACGTGATGCTGCTGTGGGCAGAGGCTCGTGGGGAGCTGGGGCTACGTTGGGGGACTCATCTGGGCCTGCCCACCCTGAAGGCCTGAAGCCCCCCTCCATGCTGGCTGTGATCTCTGACCTGTGGGGCCTCCAACGTGGCACATACGGAGGCTGGACCACGAAACCCAGCAAGGATGTGCCCGTGGCAGTGGGAATGGAGCAGGGGTAAGGGTATGTACCAGAAGACTGAGGGGGTCAGGGAAACTTCCAGAAAGAGGGACATTCGGCTGGAATCCCACCCCACCCACCCCGTCCGTCAACCTCACTGCTGGCCTCCTTGACCCTCCCCAAAGCTGGAGGCAGGGACAGATGCCCTGGGAGTTGTCCCACTGAGGGGCCCTTGGATGACTCCTGACTCTCGGGGGTATCTGTGGGCGGCATTCTGGTGTCCGTGGCAGCCTCAAGGTCCCACTGCCCCAGCTGTGGGATTGGAAGCAGAGACAGAGCTGCAACGGGGCAGCAAGATCAGAAGGCTGGCCAGGAGCTCCTACCCCCCAACTCCCCCCAACCCGGGCCCCTTCCCAAGGGTATGGTGGGGGCCTTTGCCTTAAGTCAGTCCCTTCCCCCTTCCCTCTCCACTGGTTCCTCAGTCCCTCTTGTGCAGCTCCCGCCTCTCCCTGCGTAGATTCTGCTGTGGCTCCTCATTGCTCACGCCTCAGCCCAGTTCCTCAGCAGAGAGGAGCCCATCTTCATTAGGTGCCCTCCCTCCACATGCTAGCCCCCCAGCATCCAGAGCCTGCAGCTTTTCGGAGACTCCCTGCTCTCCCACACCTCTGTCGCTAGGTCCTGCTAGACTGGCAAACTCCTACTCATCCTTCAAGACCTTGCCCACTCGTTCCACATTTCCAACTCTGTACTCCACCCCATACAGCAAGTTGCTCTTTCCTGCACACACAGGACTTGCCCCCAGACCCCCGTGCCATTCTGCTGTGCCCTGCTGACCTGGGCTGCCCAGAGGGAGGGGCCCAGCGTCCTGCCCTCGGCGGTCACCCACGGAGGCCTGGTGCAGAGCAGCACCCACGCAGTCCACCATCGGTGAATGAACAAAGGCCCCGCCCAGGCAGGGTGCTGCCCGTCATTAGTGATTCCTCCTCGTTCCCTGTGAGCTGAGGGCAGGAGGGAGCAACTAGAGAAGGCGGCCGATCTGTGCGTGGCTGGGACAGTGTCAGAGACGGTCTCTGTAGTGGCCGAAGGAAAATGGTGGCTGGGCTTCCCAGCAGAAGAGCCCGGCGAGGCCTTGTCCACAGCCACCTCCCTCTCCTGGGCTCACGCGGGCCAGGGCCTCTTCCCGGCCGCACCGACTGAGGGGACACAGGTGCAGCCCCTCTCTGAGGAATGCCTGAGGGGTCAGCGACCCCCGCCCCCACCCCACCCCTGGGCTGCTCCAGGGGCCCCTGAAACCAGAGGCCCCGGTGCTGACCACACACCCGGGAGGGGCGTGCATACTTTTCCCGTCTGTCTGGGAAGGACTGGCTGCACCCCCAGTGTCTGGGGCCGGAGCTGGGGCAGGCGGGCCAAGTGGATTCAGGGAACTGGCCCTGGGCAGGTGACACATTGAGAGTGACGCCAACTCCAGGCTGTGCTGCCGAGGTTGGAGGAAAAGGGCAAGAGGGTGCCCGGTCCTGGGGCTGGAGGTGACAGGGTGGGCTAGGGTCTTGGCATCTGAGCTCCAGGGGCCTGGGCCCGTGGGCCTGAGCAGTTGTGGGGGGCTTGGGCCAGAGCGTGGGCTCGATGCTGGGAGCTCCTCCTCCACCTGCCCTCCTCGGCGCCCAACCCTCAGGCCTATGTCCCCCAATCCCGCCCGCCAGGGCGTCAGCGCCCCTGGCTCCTGTGTCCCTCACCGGCTGTCCTCAGCCTCACCTGCCTGGGCCCAGCCTCAGCGTGAGGCCTGGTAGAGCCAGCCCAGAGGCCCCGAGCCCCACGTGGGGACCCTGCCGCCCCGGCACCTCCTGCCACTGATGGCAGAGCCCCCCCTCCCCTGGTTGGCCAGCCACACAGACAGGGTCTCTCCAGCTGCTTTAAAACCACATGGGGGAAACACTGAATTAAAACCCAGGCCTGAAGAGTCCTCGCCCCGACCCCTTTGAGGCCCACAGCTCGCCAGCGGGGAAAGGAAATGGAACGTGCTTCCTCGGGCTGGGACCTCCCCTGGGGTCAGAGCTCTGTGTGCGAGGGGGCAGGGCTCAGGTGCCTGGGCCTTTCCTGTCTGGCTGCTCATCTGTAACAGAGAGGTTGGGGTAGCCCTCCCCCAAATTACCCCCGGAGTCTTTGTGCAAATGAGGAAACAGAGGTCACCTGGGGACAGGCAGCCAGACCCCGTCCCCCACAGCCTCTTGGGCCAGGGTGTCAGCCCCTTGGGGAACTAACAGCAGAGCCTGGAGCCTGACACCATTGGGGGAGGGGCAGGGACATCGCAGGTGCCCTGCCAGGGAGGTGGCCTCGGATGGAGATGAAGGGCTAAGCCCTAGGAGAGGTAGGGTTCCCACCCCCAGCAGCTTTGTGTGCAATGAGGAGGGGCCCCAGTCACCCCAAGGCTATCCCCATGGCCCTGGCACCCCTCCCTCCTGCCTCTGCTGTCAGAGGAGCTAAAGATGGGGTAGGGCCGTTTGCCCACCAACTGGGACACCCCCTCCCTGCGTGTGCACGTGGGCTGTGGCAGGCTGGGGGCGTCACCTGGCCAGCAGCCTCGGGATGCGGGCGAAGGTCACCCGGCTTGGGGGATGGGGGAGCCGCCAACGGTGCCGCACAAGGACAAGGGGACACTGTGCATCGGTCTCCACGTCTGCTGCACTCCTCGTGAGGTGGGCACCCTGACTCGTCCGCTCCAGAGGCGAGGCCACAGGTACAAGAGGGGATGGGACCTGCCCAAAGTCACAGGCAGGAAATGGCAGAGCTGGGGCTCCCATCCCATGGGTCTGGCTTTCACAAAAATTTAAATCTGGCTCATTTAAGCGATTCTTCCCCTGGTACACAGGACAGTCTACATCTGGGAGTCACTGATGTGCTGGTGACCTCCAGCCAGACCGAGGGGCCTGTGGGCAGGGTGCACCTTGCTTTGGTGTGGGCTCCAGGATGGAGGTGGCCCTGGGACGAGCTGGCCAGCTTCGGCACATGCAGTGAGGATGGCAATGTTTGTGGAAAACCGACGAGGAAAATGAAAGAAAAGGCACCCTTCACATGGACCCCCACAAGGTGCTGAGAGCACACGGCCTCCCCTCGGCTGGGCCTGCCCTGGCAAAACCTGAGACACTGGGCTCGAGGTGGCCAGTGTCCCGGGCCAGGCCTGAGCAGGGACGAATACACTCGGGGAGGGCAGGGAGCCGGAGCCCAGTGGGGGACCGACCTCACCATGGCCCAGGCAACCACCCTCAGGCCACTCTGTCCAGAGGGAGGAAACGGGCCTGTGTACAGCCTGGTGGCAGCTCGTCAGCCAGAACCGACCCCCAGGGCCAGCTGTTTCCTGGGCAACAGTGCCCATTCATGCAGGCACCGGGGGGCAGTGCGAAGAGAGGTGGCGTGCTGAACGTGGGGTGGTGCTCCACGGCTGCCAGCATCTCAGGGGCCTCTCTCCGAGGGGCTGTGGCTAGAGCCCAGCCAGGTTACCAGGGAGGAGTGCCGCGGTCCTGCTCCGCAGTGATGGGTAAGCAGGTTCCGGCCCATGGTGGACCTGCAGAGACGCCCACCTTGTGCTGGGCCTGGGACAGACGGGACGGGGAGTGGCCATCTAGCCCGTGCCCCCGGCCTGCCCCCGGGGCCCACTTCTCCAGCCCACAGGACCCTCCATTCACAATATTATTCACAGTAGTGACAATTCCCGTCCCTCTCCCTCTGGAACCTGGCGCAGGGCCTTCCACAGGCAGGAGATAGTGCAGCCTTCTCACGGCTGACCAGGTGGAGGCGCAGAGGGTAGGTGGCCTGCCCAGGGCCCCAGGGCCAGTGCCGGGAGGCCTGTCTTCCTCCCAGCCTGGCTGGAAGCACTTGCACCATGGTCCAGGCCTCACCAGGAGCCAGGGCCCCGGGTGGGCAGATGGTGGCGGCCCCACCTGAAAGGCTGGCTTTGGCAGAGAGGTGGGTCTGCTGGGGGCTGGGCAGCTGGTCTCACAGCAGAGGAGTCTTGACAGCTGTTCTGAATATTTTGATAAAAACATGGTGAACACCTGGTGTGTGTTTAGATTAAAACAAGCTGGCCCGGCCCCTTGCAATGTGCTCTCCAACGGCCAAGTCCCCTGAGAAGTCCCCATGCGCCCCACCCAGCCAAAGGGGCACAGGGTGGGCGCTCATTCACTCCTCCCCCAGAAATGCCACCCCACCCCCTCCTCTTGAGGCTAGACCACGGGAGGTCGGGAAGACCCCCGGCTAGCCCAGCCGGCAGGGGCTGGCACACCCAAGCTCTGGGTTCTCA